AAAAAAAAAAAAAAAAAAGAAACAAAAAAAAAAAAAAAAAAAAAAAAAAATAAAAAAAAAAAAAATAAATAAGAAAAAAAAAAAAAAAAAAAGAAAAAAAGGGAGAAAGAAAAAAAAGATGAAGAAGGGGAGGAGGAGGAGGAGTAGGGCATCTAGTAGCGTAGGCACTCGTACTCGAGCGTGGTGCTCGTAGGTCGTAGCGTAGGAGGGAGCGATGCCTCAGAGTGGTGTGCCGGCCGCGTGGCCCGTGTGCCGGTCCGGCTGGACCGAGAGGTGGGTAGCAGGAGTTAGGTACATTACAACAGGAGTTCGGTAAGAGGAAAAGGGCTCCCTAACTCAAGCTACCTTACCTTAAGTTCGGTACCCTACGGTACATTGTCACCGCCTGTCGCTGGCGTTCACTGGCTTCACTGTCACTGTCACTATGGCTGTCACTGTTCTTGGGTGCCTTTCACTCCTCCCTGGCAGCTGGCTTTCCCCAGCTGTCACCAGCTGTCACCAGCTGTCACCAACCAGCTGTCACCAGCAGTCAGTCACCAACCAACCAACCAGCTGTCACCAGCTGTCGTTGCTGCTGTCGTTGCTGCTGTCGGTCGTTTCGCAGCCGCTGTCACGACATATTGACCACGTCGCGACCGTTAACAGCCGTTTTAACCGTGATGACGTGAACTTCTTTCCATAGTCTCTCAGGGACAACCAAAACGAACCCCAACACGGGCAAGGAGATCACAGCGTGACTGAGTTGGTCTCTGCAATTCGCGCGGCAGGAACAGCCACACTCCCTCTTTCGACCCTCGCAGCCATGCCGCTTTTCAGCAAGAACAGCCCCGGCTCGCCGCTGATGCCGCCGCCCTCGAGGGAGTACATCGCAAAGGCGCGCGCGTCGCCGCCCAAGAAGCTCGCTCCTCTCGCTCTGCCGTCCGCAGACATCAGCGACGACGCGGCGAAGGTGCCTCGCGGCAAGATCGAGATGCAGCCTGCACTGCTCGCGGAGTTTGCCGGCCTGATCGATGCCATCGGTCCCGCCATCTGCCAGCTCCTGCCGGGCGAGGCCGGCCTCGCCAAGGGTCTCCAGCACATCTTCAAGGCCGTGGTGGACGCCGCGGGCGGCTCGCTCGAGGCCGTCGCCTGCCTGCTCAAGGAGCTGTCCACGGGGCACCTCTTCGACGGCATCAAGCATTTCCTGAGCAACATCGCGACGACGGTTGGCTGCACGCTCGACGAAGTCTACCAGGCCGTGCAGGCGCTGCTCGGCGGCGTGGAGGACCTGACCGGCTCGATCGGCAAGATTGTCGAGGCATCCTCAAGAATGTCGGCGAGCTGCTCTCCGAGATCAAGAAGGGAGTTGTCGCGCTCCTCAAGTGCATCCTTCCGACCAAGCTCTTCGCCAGCATCGAGGCGCTCGTGGGCGGCATTCTCCGCGAGGTGTCCAGCCTCGTCGACCTGCGCTGCCTCTTTGAGAACATCGAGCACCTCCTGTGCACGGTCTTCTCGGCGGTGCGCTTTCTGCTTCAGAACGTGGCGTCGATCGTCTTTACCATCCTCTGCGACACGAAGAAGGTCGTGGATGGCGTCCTCGTTGCGACGGGCAAGGTTGTCAGCGACGCCATGGGCCTCGTCAAGGAGGTCCTGGGCGACGTCTTCCGCCTGGTCAGGCACGCCCTGTGCGAGGTCGCCATCTTCCTGCGGGGCCTCTTCGGCGGCGTCTCGGGCTTCCTCTGCCACCTCCTGCTCGACATCGAGCAGCTTCTCTGCTCCATCCTCGGCGGCCCGCACCACTGCCTCGGCGCCGTCGACAAGATTGGCTGCGCCATCGGCAAGGTGTTTCCGGCCATCGAGCAGAGCGCGCTGTGCCTCTTCGGCCACATCCAGCGCAAGGGCGTGGACAGCAAGGGCGCGCTCAAGCTCTGCCTGCACGAGGTCTCCGGCAACTTCCTCTGCGATCTCTTCACCGAGCTCAAGGGCTTCCTCGAGATGGTTGCCAAGGCCGTCGGCTGCACGCTGTCCGACGTCTTCGCGGCGGTCCGGATGATCCTGAACGGCGTCGCGTGCGAGACGAGCAAGATTGTGAGCTACATCCTCGCCAACGTGGGCTGCCTGCTGGATGGGGTCAAGAAGGCCGTCGTCTGCCTCCTCAAGAAGGTGCTGCCGGCGGGGCTCTTCTGCAGCATCGAGAAGCTCCTCTCCACCATCCTCTGCAGCGTCGCCAACCTGGTCGACCTGCGCAAGCTCTTCCGCGGGATCTGGGGCCTCGTGGGCGAGGTGCTCTGCTTCACCAAGTTCCTGCTCGCGGGCGTCGGCTGCCTCGTCCGGGAGATTCTCACCGAGAGCGGCGAGCTCGTCAACGGCGTCCTCTGCAAGACGGGCAAGGTGGTGCACAACACGCTCGAGCTCGTCAAGGAGGTGGTGGGCGACGCGCTGTGCTACGTGCACGGCCTGCTGGAAAAGGTCGGCTGCTTCGTGGAGGAGCTGCTGGGCAGCATCGACACCTTCCTCTGCTGGCTCTTCACCGAGGTCTCCAAGCTGGTGGGCGCCATCCTGCACGGCGTGTCTTGGATCCTTGGGCAGGTCAACAAGATCTTCCCCGCGATCTGCGCGCTGCTGCCGGGCATCGACGGCATCGTCAGCGACATCCTCTCGGGCGTCGCCTGCGTCGTCCAGGACGAGCTCGATCAGGTCAAGCTGCTTCTCGAGGCGATCGGCTGCGCCGTGGCGAAGATTCTGAAGCCGATCCGGTGCTTCCTCGAGTTCATCGCCAAGGAGGTGGGCTGCACGGTGAAGGAGGTCTTCTGCGCCGTCAAGGCGCTGCTGTGCGGCGTCGGCGGCCTCGTTGGCAAGACGCTCAGGATCGTGCAGTGCATCCTCGCCAACGTCGGCCGGCTCGTTCAGGACGTGCTCGCGGGCGTCGTCTGCTTCCTGCAGAAGCTCAACCTGCCGTCGATCGGCGAGAAGATCGCGGCGCTTGTCGGCACCATCCTTGCCGGAGTATGCGAGGACAGCCCGTTCTGCCCGTTCGCGGGCTAGTCAGCACTTCTAGCGCAGAGAGGGCAATGGGGCGGAGGCACGCCGCAGCGGCAGGCAAAAGGAATCGGTATCAAAACACGTTCCCGCCGGTACACACACAAAGTAAGCACAGCACGCCTTAGAGACGTGACCGTCTCGGCGGCGAAAAATCACACACCGCCGCCACGCGATAGCGCGAACACAAGGGCTACTTGGAGCACACACGATAGTCACCGTCGCTCCTCTCAGTCTACTCCGCCTCTCCTCTAGCGCAGAGCGCCTCATCTCGCCGGGGAGAAGTGCGGTGATCCGCCTACCGCCTTAGGCACTTGATCGGCGTCACGGTGAAGGCGGGCTCGGCCGCTGCCTCCCAACGCCTTCGAAGGCCGAGCCGCGCGCTTTCGCGCGGGTTGTGAGCCACAGGCACGCGCGCCTACTCGGGGACGAGCCGGGGTGGTGTGTGGGGCACGTTTACGGGTCCGGAATGGTCCGTTATGCCGTGCTGCTGCCTTGGGCGACCGGCTAGGTCACGTCGAAAGTAGCGCGGTCTTCCGCTGCCTCCCGACGCCTTCTAAGGCCGAGCCGCGCGCTTTCGCGCGGGTTGTGAGCCGCAGACACGCGCGCCTACTCGGGGACGAGCCGGGGTGGTGTGTGGGGCACGTTTACGGGTCCGGAATGGTCCGTTGCCGAGTCGGCGGCGGCAGCGGCGATGAGGCCGCGGCGCAAGGGCGGAGCAGAACCGCCGCAGCGGCCTGCGGCTGCGCCGCGCGCCCGCGCGCGGAGGAGGGGCGTGTGTGAGTCAGTGCTACGCGGTGCCGCCCTTGGAGAGGCGAGAGAGGCCGGTGTGGCAGGCAGGTTTAGCTCTGTCGGCTTCGCGACGCCGCCCCGCCGCACGCGGCCCAAATCATGACGCCACTCCAGCTGCGCTGGCAGCGGGCGCTGGTCTTCTGGCAGGCAAAGGGGCGGCTAAACGGCATGGCCCGGATCGCGTGCGCCAGGCCCCGCGCGCAGAGGGCGGCTCTCTGAGCTCAGGGCGACACAGAGCGCTCGGCAGCAGCTGTGAGCTCTCAAAAGTCGCTGTTCACACTGGCGACGCCGGTTTCTTCTTTTGTATCTTCATGAACCGCTGGGGGAGGAATAATTTCGTGCCCAGACCGCCGTACTGGCACGGTAGGATCGAGATCCGCGAGCGAGAGATGGAATTGGAGCCCTGGTGCGACGGGTTAGGTGAGCTACCATCACTGTCTTAGTGCGCGCGCCCCGCATGGTCCGACACATCTAAAGTGGAAGGGTGGGGTAGGGGAGAAGTACTCTTGAGGGAAACATTGGACCGTCAGGCCCCGGGGACTGGCCAGCCCGACTGACACAACCTTCAGGAACACCATTTTGCGGTCCTGAGCGGCCGTCTTGGAGCAGAAGCTTCCCTGCCTCCTTAGCCATGTTGCGGTGCCCTCGCGCCATCTGGTCCTCGCACTGCTCGCAAGTAAAGCGTCTTCACAGGTCGGCAGATACGCCTCACCTTCAAAAAGGTGGCTGCCTACCCCAAAGCCCAGCCCGGGGCATCGATTTCTCTTGACGATTTCACTTTAAAACGCTGGTGCAGATGGGGTTTTCTCTATAGAAGTCGGAGCCTTGCGTCGAAGGAGAGGCAGCGTGCGGCTCCGTGGACTCGGCCATCACCCGCGGGTGAGAGGGCGATAGGAAGCACTCCCGCCCTCTGAGGCGGCCGTCCGAGTCGGGGAGGCAAACACACAGCCATCCTCGCGGGTGTGGGCAGCCTTATCGGCCCGCTATACTAACCCTTAAGTCGGCCCTTCCTCGGGTCGGCTTCGGAGGCCCCTTAGCCCTAGCCGGAGCTAAGGGAGCCGGCTTTTTCGGCGCTAACCCTAGGAGAAACCGCTCCGGAATAGGGTTACCGGCACCATCGGGCGGCGCCATGCGGATGGAGGGAGTCGGGTCTGCCATCGGCGGGCCGTCAGGGCGCTGAGAAGTCAAGGACGACTTTTTAGCTCCACTTTCGGCGTGCCGGAGTATACCACACATAGGCGCGTATATGAGCCACTCACTCGGGCGTCTCGCTGACGTTGATCGATCAGCGCTGATCTCCCTAGCCTATCGCCCACCCGCTCGATCCTCGGATCGCTCGCTTGTCGCAAATCGATCGACTGAGCTGTCATCCCCCCGTCCTTTTCTTTTTTCGAAAACGCGCGCGCGCCCGTCGCGGCAAAACTGTCAGGTCCGCCACGGCGTATGATGGGCTGCGAGAGCCGTATCTTCCCTCCTTGAAGCAGAGGCGCCGCGAGGCACGAGAGGCGTAGAAGAGAGGCTGGCGTGCCCCGCACCGCCCGGTTGGCAGTAGGAGGCCCCGCCGGTGAGACCACTGATTTTGATGCCGACCATAAATTCTCGCACGCATGCTACTTACAGCTGCTGTCTTGAGCACTTGAGCACTGGATAGGGTCGATTCCGCATGGTACGGGACCCCTCGATCGTCTCGCCCTCCCTCACTGGAGTGTGCTGCTGTCTGTACAGAGATGCCAGCACCCCCCACAGGCAGAGCGCTGCTGCTGGGGGGGGGGGGGGTCCCGAACCCCCCAGCAGCAGAGCGCTGCTGCTGGGGGGGGGTCGGCCATGGGCTTAGGTGTGCAGGGGGGCGGGGGTACCGAGCAGTGTGCGGCCGCTCCATAGGAGGTAATCCTTCTCAATAACAACGTGTGTGTAGCCATAGGAGGTATTTCCTTCTCAATAACAAGGTCTGTGTAGCGCCATAGGAGGTACTTGCTCAACACCAGGTCTGTAGATACTCGAGTAGTGGCCGGCCGGATTTGATTGAAGCATGAATGAAGGGCGGTACCTATGGTGGTGGGGAGTGGACAAGTGGGCTGTGGGAGGCTGAAGCCCAGTCCTCTGCTGTGTTGTGGCGGCTGCCTCGAGCGTTCTTTCTCCCGTCCCTCCTTGGGCGGCCCGATACGCCTTCTTCAGGGTTGAAAAGTGCGGTTTCGGCGTGGATGCGCTCTTTTGGCATCGATTTTGATACGGACATAAAAGCCCGCTTTCGCCCCGGCCGTCCAACATGCGCGCCAACCTCGGGCTGCTCCTCGCGCTGCTGCTCGCGCTGCAAGACTCTGTGCTTGCGTTCCTGCCCGTCGAGATCCCGTTCATCTATTTGGCGTTCGGCGGTGTGACTGCAGGAGCGGTTGGTGCTGGCGCTGCGCTTGGCGTTGCTGTTGGATACTACATTCTCAAACGGAAGGAGCTGGATGTGGGTGCCAAACCGCTCGTATAGCCGTAAGTTGCAACGAGTGTGTACCTGTATTTGTGGCGAAGCAGCGGGTCCGCCTGTCGATCCGGCACTACCCTCCGTTGGGGGAGCGCCACGTCCGCCACCAACAGAGCGTTTTTAGCCTTGCTGGGCGCTCATCCATTGTCTGTACGTTGCAGTGCTTGCAGGTTTCCTTCAATATGGGACGTGAACGGGGGCTGGTTGTGTTGCGTCCCACACGGCCGGGAGTGTGCGGCGATAGACGCGCGTTCGCGCACGCGCGTGCGCGACGCGCTTCTCGGCCTTTGGATTCGCGACTATTAGTATTACCGTCATAACTCATGTGTTGAAGAAGATTTGTGAGCGGCGCGCTCTTTCCACCCGCGTACAGCATACACTCAGAGGCATTCACTCTCGCGCCCGGTGCCTCTGCGCCCTTGGCCGGCACTCGTGGGCACAGGGTGCCGCGTTCCTGCCTGTGTGTGACTCCGTCGCTCCGACTCGACACTCACCAAAGAGACGTCAGTATGAACCTCCTAGTCTCCGTACCCATCCCTCAATCGCCCTGCCTCTGCCACGCCCTCACTCTTCCTCGTCCTCGTAGGTTTGCTCGAAGTGGATGTCGTCGTCGTCGCCCTCCGCGTCGAGCAACTGCGTGCACTGCTCTTCCTGTGACGGGCGGGCAAGAGGGTCTCGCATGCCCAGCTCAGACAGGGGGGGGGGGGGGGGGGGCAGCGGCGCGCATCGCCCTCCTGCGCGTAAGCGAGTGACGCTATGTCGGCGTATTCGCCGCCGAGAGAGCGAAGCAGCCTCCCCCACGCGCGCTGGCCAGCATGCGGCACCTGCGGCCCGTGCCAGCCGGCGGCGGTGAGAGCGCTGCGATTCCGGCTTGCCTGACAGTGGTGGGGCTGTGAGCGAGCGGCAATGCGCGCCAGCTGCTCATCCAGCAGCGTGTGCAGGTGGACCTATTTAAACAGGCCGGCCATCTCGACTGAGCAACACGGAGAGTCGAAGCGAGTGGCAATGGGGCGCTCCTGCCGCTGCGTCCGATTGAGGGCGCCTCCGTCGGCCTGCTGCGCGGCCATCATTGCCCAGAGCTCCTCCTCGCCTCGTCCAATCATCTCGTCAAGCTCATCGGCCTCGTCGAGCGACGACGACGACGACGCGCCGCTCTCGCCGCCGCCGCTCTCGCCGTCCGCCTTGCCTACTGCGCCGCCGCCACCGCCACCCTCGCCCGCCGAGCTGCTGCAAGGGGGTGTGCTGCTCGACGCGAGCGTGGAGCAGGCGCGAGGCTGCGCAGCGGTCGCCGGCGAGCTGCAGACAGGCACGCCCCCGCTGCGCGGCGCGCCGCCTCCGAAGCGGTGGCGCGGCTGCGCGAGGCAAATGGAGCGGAGCTCGGCGGCGTCTGGCCGCGCGCCGTACCACTCGCCCAACTCGTACTCGCCGTCGAGCTGCGCGGGGCCCCAGGCCGAGCTGCCTGCGCGGCGGAGGGGAGCGCCACCCCGTCGAGACGCGGCGCCGCTCTCCCGAGTGGGGGAGGCAGGAGGCAGGAGGCAGGAGGCAGGAGGCAGGAGGCAGGAGGCAGGGGCGGGGGAGGGGCGGGGCCGGGGGCGGGCGAGGGCGTGGGAGGCGAAGCGGCGCGGCGGACCGAGCACGAGCTTGAAGTCCTCGGGCGAAGCCGCGCGCGCGCTGACGAGCCGGTTGGCGGAGGCAAGCCAGGCGCCTACGAGAAGGTTCCGAGAAGGTTCCGAGAAGGTTCCGCGAGCGGCCCAGGCGAGGTGGGTCGGAAGGGGCGAGCGGCGCGCTCGAGACGCGGGAAGCGTAGAGCGGCCCAGCCGGGTGGAGGAGGGACGCGCCGAGGGTGCCGTGCCCGAGGGTGCCGTGCGCCGCCTCGCCGCGCGGGCGCGCCACGCCGCGCTGCTCGTGCGCGCTCATCGCCCCCAGCATGGGGTCGTCCTCGCCCTCCTCCTCCTCGTCGTACGACTCATCCTCGCCGTCGGCGTCGGCGTCGAGGAGCGAGCGGTGCGGGTGGAGGGCGAGGAGCGGGCCCGCCACCGGCCCGCCGACGTACACGCGGTTCCGGCCGAGGTGGCCCAGCTCCTTCTGCTGAACCCGCAGGCCGAGCAGCCTGGCCGCGTGCCGGAGCCGGATCGCCGACGGCTTGTTGACGAGCCAGCCGTGAGAGCCGCCAGCGCCGTGCTGCGTGACGAGGATAAGGGAGCGGCCGAAGGAGGCGGAGAGCTGCATCGGGTGCGCCGCCAGTAGCAGCGGCTGCTCGCCCGACGGCCCGCCCACAGGGCCCGGCATCGCGTCAAGCACCGCCGACGCCACCGCCGAGCGCCCGCCGCGGCTGCTGGGCTGAGGCAGCCGGGAGCGCGGCAGCCCTTCCGCAGCGGCGATCAGCAGGTTGAGCTCGGAGAGCGCCGCAAAAGCCGCGTCGAGCTGAGGGCCGCGGTCGTGCGAGGCCTCGTCCACACGGAACTTGCCACTCAACCACTCGCGCAGCGACTCGGGCTTCCCTCGCGCCGGCCTGTACAGCGGCGCGCCCAGAAAGAGGAGCGCGAGAGCCGTGTAGCCGCGCCGCTCATCCGAGAACGGGTAGAGAGTGCACCACTCCTCACGCTCGTGGTCATAGTGCCGCTCGGGAGCGAGTGACGGCACGAGGGCCTTGAGCGCGGGATCGGCGTCGATGCGGCTGGCCATCCGGTAGAGCGCTCAATAGAGGGCGACTACCACAGCGTTGTTCGCGGACGCGCTCGCCATGTCCGGAGGCGTTGCAACCTCTCCGCGGAGTGCCCGCGGTGCCGTCGCTCTTTTGGCCGATCCACGAAGGCAAAGAAACCCAACTTGCTGTGGTGTAGAGGATGTAGAGTGTAGTCGAGTCCAACGAGCCCTCGCTATACGGGGGGAGCGACGAGGAGCTCTAGGAACGGCCGCCGAGCCCTTCCCGCAGCGCAACCCTAGCAGCGCAGCGGGCAGGGCGGCTCGCGCAGCGCGCGCGCGCGATCGCGCAAGCGGCGCGCGAGAGCGAGCGAGCGAGCACACACACACACACACACACACACACACACACACACACACACACACACACACACACACACACATGTTGTACACATGCACAGACACACAGCCCCTTCCCCTTCAAGGGCGAGGACACGCGCAGGGGTCGCACTTCTAGCGAGGCCCACAGAGTGGGAGACTCCTATCACCGCCACTGCCACCCACGTGTCAGTCTGCCTGTGGTAGAAGAGACTGCCGGTGAGAAGTCGGAGGAAGGTCGCTAGTCGAGAGAGATCGCCAGTGGATAGAGAGTCCACCGTGCTGCGAGCCTGTCGCTGTCCCTTGTCAGGAGCAGGAGAACTAGGAGAGCGCAACCAGTAGGAGGCCCGCGCTTGCCCCCGTGCCGCCGGGTGCAACCTGTCCTATACGAGAGAGGAATCCCTGGGACCCTGTCGTGAGGGTGAACCCTGCCCAGCCCCCCTCCGTGTCGCGATGCGCTCCCCGCTCCCGTTCCCCTGTGTCCCTGATCGTCCTTACAAGATCCTGCTCGTGCAGGTGGGGACCCTGTCCTTCTCCCACCCCTCGTTTGGGGTGTACGTTGTATTTATTTATTTTATGTAGAGTGTAGAGCGCTGTAGAGGTGTAGAGATGTAGAGCGCTCTACAGCTCTACAGCTCTACAGCGCTCTACATTCTACATCCTCTGCACCCTCCCTCAGAAGAAACCGCGGTGCCGCACGCACAGCCGCGCGCTCAATGAAAGTGGAAAGGAGCGAATGAAACGCAGACCCCACACGCGCGACCCCCCCCCCAGGTCCGGTCCCCCAACACCCTCTCACTGGACACACACACTCACCCCGAGAGAGAGAGAACGTACACCCCCGAATGAACTCTCTCTCTCTCACTCTCTCTCCGCGCACATGCTGATGTGCATGCTGTGCATGCTATGCATGCTATGCATGCTATGCATGGTGGCAAGTGGGCATCCCAGTGAGCCGGCCGTGGCCCCTCCGGGCGCGCGCTCGGCCGCGCGTCTACTTGCACGCCGGCGGCTGCGGCGGCGCCGGGCAGGAGGGCACCGGGCCGCAGACGTTGCCGTAGATCAGCGGCACGCCAAAGGGCTTGACCTGGACCGCGAGCAGGCCGTAGCCCGGGCCGCACTTGATGTACCCCAGCCAGGGCTCGAAGGCCATGTTGAGCCCGTTGAGCAGGTCGAACACGAAGCAGAGGCCCATCCTCTTGGCCGTCCCGGGGCAGCAGATGTCGTGCTTCGGGCAGAGGATCCCCTTGAGCAGGCAGATGACGTCGTGGAAGATGGCCGACACGAGGCAGTTGACGCCGCCGAGCGTGCAGTACACAAACACGGCCACGTCCTCCAGGACCACGCACAGCTCGTGCAGCACCGAGCCGAGCACGTCGCGGACGAGCGCCGTGACGTCGCCGAGGATGGTGCAGACCAGCCACTCGACATTCTTGAGCAGGCAGCAGGTGAAGTCGAAGATGCCGTGCAGCAGCGCCGCGATCTTGCAGAAGAGGCCGCGCAGGTCCACCAGGTCCCTCACCTCGCAGAGGATGGTGCCGACAAGCGCCGCGATCTTCTCGCCGATCGACGGCAGGTTGAGCTTCTGCAGGAAGCAGACGACGCCCGCGAGCACGTCCTGAACGAGCCGGCCGACGTTGGCGAGGATGCACTGCACGATCCTGAGCGTCTTGCCGACGAGGCCGCCGACGCCGCACAGCAGCGCCTTGACGGCGCAGAAGACCTCCTTCACCGTGCAGCCCACCTCCTTGGCGATGAACTCGAGGAAGCACCGGATCGGCTTCAGAATCTTCGCCACGGCGCAGCCGATCGCCTCGAGAAGCAGCTTGACCTGATCGAGCTCGTCCTGGACGACGCAGGCGACGCCCGAGAGGATGTCGCTGACGATGCCGTCGATGCCCGGCAGCAGCGCGCAGATCGCGGGGAAGATCTTGTTGACCTGCCCAAGGATCCAAGACACGCCGTGCAGGATGGCGCCCACCAGCTTGGAGACCTCGGTGAAGAGCCAGCAGAGGAAGGTGTCGATGCTGCCCAGCAGCTCCTCCACGAAGCAGCCGACCTTTTCCAGCAGGCCGTGCACGTAGCACAGCGCGTCGCCCACCACCTCCTTGACGAGCTCGAGCGTGTTGTGCACCACCTTGCCCGTCTTGCAGAGGACGCCGTTGACGAGCTCGCCGCTCTCGGTGAGAATCTCCCGGACGAGGCAGCCGACGCCCGCGAGCAGGAACTTGGTGAAGCAGAGCACCTCGCCCACGAGGCCCCAGATCCCGCGGAAGAGCTTGCGCAGGTCGACCAGGTTGGCGACGCTGCAGAGGATGGTGGAGAGGAGCTTCTCGATGCTGCAGAAGAGCCCCGCCGGCAGCACCTTCTTGAGGAGGCAGACGACGGCCTTCTTGACCCCATCCAGCAGGCAGCCCACGTTGGCGAGGATGTAGCTCACAATCTTGCTCGTCTCGCACGCGACGCCGTTCAGGATCATCCGGACCGCCGCGAAGACGTCGGACAGCGTGCAGCCGACGGCCTTGGCAACCATCTCGAGGAAGCCCTTGAGCTCGGTGAAGAGATCGCAGAGGAAGTTGCCGGAGACCTCGTGCAGGCAGAGCTTGAGCGCGCCCTTGCTGTCCACGCCCTTGCGCTGGATGTGGCCGAAGAGGCACAGCGCGCTCTGCTCGATGGCCGGAAACACCTTGCCGATGGCGCAGCCAATCTTGTCGACGGCGCCGAGGCAGTGGTGCGGGCCGCCGAGGATGGAGCAGAGAAGCTGCTCGATGTCGAGCAGGAGGTGGCAGAGGAAGCCCGAGACGCCGCCGAAGAGGCCCCGCAGGAAGATGGCGACCTCGCACAGGGCGTGCCTGACCAGGCGGAAGACGTCGCCCAGGACCTCCTTGACGAGGCCCATGGCGTCGCTGACAACCTTGCCCGTCGCAACGAGGACGCCATCCACGACCTTCTTCGTGTCGCAGAGGATGGTAAAGACGATCGACGCCACGTTCTGAAGCAGAAAGCGCACCGCCGAGAAGACCGTGCACAGGAGGTGCTCGATGTTCTCAAAGAGGCAGCGCAGGTCGACGAGGCTGGACACCTCGCGGAGAATGCCGCCCACGAGCGCCTCGATGCTGGCGAAGAGCTTGGTCGGAAGGATGCACTTGAGGAGCGCGACAACTCCCTTCTTGATCTCGGAGAGCAGCTCGCCGACATTCTTGAGGATGCACTCGACAATCTTGCCGATCGAGCCGGTCAGGTCCTCCACGCCGCCGAGCAGCGCCTGCACGGCCTGGTAGACTTCGTCGAGCGTGCAGCCAACCGTCGTCGCGATGTTGCTCAGGAAATGCTTGATGCCGTCGAAGAGGTGCCCCGTGGACAGCTCCTTGAGCAGGCAGGCGACGGCCTCGAGCGAGCCGCCCGCGGCGTCCACCACGGCCTTGAAGATGTGCTGGAGACCCTTGGCGAGGCCGGCCTCGCCCGGCAGGAGCTGGCAGATGGCGGGACCGATGGCATCGATCAGGCCGGCAAACTCCGCCAGCAGTGCAGGCTGCATCTCGATCTTGCCGCGAGGCACCTTCGCCGCGTCGTCGCTGATGTCCGCGGACGGCAGAGCGAGAGGAGCGAGCTTCTTGGGCGGCGACGCGCGCGCCTTTGCGATGTACTCCCTCGAGGGCGGCGGCATCAGCGGCGAGCCGGGGCTGTTCTTGCTGAAAAGCGGCATGGCTGCGAGGGTCGAAAGAGGGAGTGTGGCTGTTCCTGCCGCGCGAATTGCAGAGACCAACTCAGTCACGCTGTGATCTCCTTGCCCGTGTTGGGGTTCGTTTTGGTTGTCCCTGAGATCCCTAGGACGTAGGGGCGGCTGTTTCCACTGGGTACGAGGCTGTTACCACTCAGAGAGAGAGTGCGACGCTCCGGCAACTCGTGAGGGATCGGTCGGGGTTGCGGGCGGACGAGGGAGGGAGGGAGAGAGATGGCGTTCGTTCGTTCGTAGATAGAGAGTACGGACGGTGTCGGTAGAAAATTTTCTATAGTATTATAGTAGTAAAGCCGTAGTAGTAGAATCAAGAATGCGCGCGCCCGGGCCCATTGTCATTGATTGGTGCAAACACAAAACAACTCTCAACAACCGCGTGTGAGTGGTTATAGCTTATACTGATCTATGACTGTGAGATTTGTTTGGTGGGGTTGGTCCGTCGATTCTCACGACTCACGTCTGAAGCGGTCTCTGTCACGATTGCTAACACTCTCCGTCTCTCTCTCTCTCTCTCGTGTCGGTGTACGGTGATGCATGAATGATCTTAGGTAGGGGACCCCTAGGCTTAAAAGGGTGGGCCCTGGGGCGCCTGCGGCTTAAACGGCTTAAAACTTGCCCGGGCAAGTTTTAAGAGCTGCTGGGCCGCCAATTCCTTAAACGGTCTTAAACGCTTAAACAGTTCGGGAGAGCTCCCGAGGTCGATGGTCCGGGAGGCTCCAGGTAGACGCCGGAGGCCGGGAAGCTGGCTACAGTCAGCTAGCATGCGCCCCCTATGCGAGTATGGCTCCTGCCAGTGCACCAGACTTACAGATGTGTCTTCAGAGGCGGGTTTGTGCCTAATAACAGCAGTATTGGAGAAAACGGCGCGGAACCCAGCGACGCATGCCGGCGAGGCCGATTTTCTTAAACGCAAAACGGTCTCTTAAAAGAGGGACCCCCGTTGCCTGCAATCTCTTAAATGGCAAGTTAAGCCCCTAAACCTCCTCGTTTCTTAAAAGGTAAAAAAAAATCCGGCCCTCAGAACCCTAGGGGTCCCCTAAGTGAATGATGAAATTTCCCTATCTCCCCCTTTTTCACAAGGAGTTTGGACAGGACAACAGCACACGGAAGCACAGAGCACACCCCTGGGCCCTGCTGCCTGCAGGCTACTCCTTCTGTACGGCTTTACCTTCTCCTTTTATTATTTTAGACTCGACAGGGTCGGCTGCGCACCACAAGCCCACGCGACTCGCTCGAGCTCTCACCACGTCTCAATCTACGAAAAATCTCTCCGCAAGCGCAACTGCCAGTCTTGCGTATGCGTTGCCTTGCTCTCCATCGCTCCACCGCGCCACCACACGTTCACCCCAGGAGGAACGACCCGCCCTCGCCGTCAAGCTCGCCTGGCAGCCCTCCGCCCTGCAGCTGTCGGAGGCGAAGGGTCGGGGAAGCGTCGGGTGGTGCTCGCGCTCCGCTGCTCGCCGCTAGAGGCGGAGGGGGCGGGGCCCCGTCGGGGAGGCGGCTAGAGACGACGATCCGGCCCGACACAGCTGCCGTTGCGGCGAGCGCAGCTTCACGCGCAGCGACCGCGCGCGCAACCGCCTCGGCGCCGGCATCGTTCTCGGCGTCGGTGAAGGCGGCGATGGCGGCCGAGCGCTGAAACGTGATGTCCTCCTCGGGCGGAGGCTCGCTGCTGCCGTCGTGGTACACGCCGGGATGCACCTCAAAGGCGAAGGCTTTCCGGGCGCTGCCCCCCCATGCAGGCGCGACCGAGTTCTCGGCGTCGTCAAACGAGGCGATGGCGGCAGCGGTGTTAATGGTCATGTCCTCGGTGGCGTCTCCAAAGACAGCGAATGGCGCGCTGGCCGAAGTCGACGACGCTGCGGCAACGGGCGGCGCAGCTGGCGCGTCGTCGCAGAAGATGCCGAACGAAGCGGCAGCGGCCGGCGAGGCCGGCGCGGGCTGCGCAGCTGGCGCGTCGTCGCAGAAGATGCCGAACGAAGCGGCAGGGGCCGGCGAGGGCGGCGCGGGCGGCGCGGGCGGCGCATCGTCGCAGAAGATGCCGAAGCCGCTCGCGGACGGCGGGGGGTTCGTGGCCGTCTCTTCACCGGGCGCGCCCTGCCCGTTGAGCAGGCCGTCGTCTAGCTTGGCGAGGGCTGCCTTAGTGTCGGCCGGCATGTCCTCGCCCATCAGGTCGCGGGGTGGCGCAGCGGCGGGCACTGCTGAGGGCGGAGGAGCGGCGAGTGGGTGGCCCGACGCCGCGGCCTGTGTCGCGCCGCCTCGCGGGAGCGGCGAGTCCAAGGCCAGTCGCGTGGGCGGGCGCAGCGACGAGGCCTGCTTGGCGGCGGCTGGCCGCAGCCCGGCGGCGCCGGGCTGCGGCCGAGGCGTGTCTCCGAGCCAGGCTCCGGGCGTGCCCTCTTGCGCCCGGGCCGGCTCGGCTCGCCTCGGGGTGTCGTGCGGCACCGACGAGCGCGGGGCGAGCGGCGCGCCGCTCGTGTGCGGGAGTGGAGTCATCATCCCGGCCGGCTTCATCCCGCCCTGGCCACGAGAGGAGGTGCTGTAGAGGGAGGTGCTGTAGAGCGCTCGCGCCGGCGGCTCTTGGAGGTCCTGCTCCGGCTCGTCGTCGTCGTCGCGGAAGGACGGCATCAGCATCTCGAGTGCAGCCTTGGTGTTGATGGTCAGCCCGTCGTCGGTGGGCGCCGAGGCGAGCCGCACTGTCAGGCCATCCGCGTCCTCGTACAGCCCGTGACCACCACACGCGCGCGCGTTCGGGTCGCTCGCATTCTTCCGCGCCTCCTCGCGCTCCGCCTCGGCAGCAGCGCGCTCCGCCTCCTCGGCCGCTGCGCTCGCGGCGGCCGCCGCCTCTGCGCGGAGCCTCGCCTCCTCCGCCGCCCGCGCCTGCTCCGCCCGCGCCGCCTCTGCCTCCCGTGCCGCCTCTGCCTCCCGTGCCGCCGCCTCTGCCTCCCGTGCCGCCTCCGCCTCCCGTGCCACCGCCTCTGCCTCCCGTGCCACCGCCTCTGCCTCCCGTGCCGCCGCCTCTGCCTCCGCCGCTTCCCGTGCCGCCTCCGCCGCCTCCCTCGCCGCCCCCTCCTCGCGCAGCCGCTCCTCCTCGGCAGAGGCTCGCTCGGTGGCGGCGCGCAGCGCTGCGGCCGAGTGCCGCACCCGCTCCCTCACCTCCTCGAAGCAGACCTCCTCGCCGGAGTGCAGCAGCAGCTCGGGGGCGTAGCCGAGCGCCTCCGAGCCCTTCCCCGCAGGCGCGGCCGCTGCGGCGCCGGACGCGCCGCCTCGCGCCGCCGCGCCGCCCGCACCGCCGCGGCCGGGCTGCAGCGGCGGCGTGGCGGCCGCGCCTCCCCCTCCCCGCCCGTCCGTGAAGCGCGAGAGCGGGTTGCTGTGCAGCGCCTCCTCCCGCGCGCGCTCGTACCGCGCAGGCCCGTCGAGCCGCAGCCGCACGCTGCTCCCCGCACCGGCCGGCCGCGCGTCTAAGCCGCGTTCGCCGCCGGACGGCTCGGGGGCGCAGCCGTCGTCGACGTGGATGGAGAAGGGGCAACCCTCCGGCTCGGCGGGGCCCTGCGGCGCGCCGGCGGGCTTGCGCTGCGGCAGGGTGACCCCGTCCCACGCCGTCGCCGCCGCGCTGTTCTCCTTCGCCTGCTGCGTCATCGTGCCCGCCTCCCACGCGCCCGCGCGGCTCGCGCCCTCCTCGTCGCCCTCCGCATCGGCGCGCGCGGCGTCGTCGTCGAAGATGGTGAAGTTGCCGCCGATGGTGCCCGACGAGCCGCCCGACGAGCCGTTCGCTGCGCCGCCCGCCCCCGGCGCGCCGCTGGGCTTGAGCGGCGCGGCCGGCCGCTGGCTCGTTGGCCTGCGGCTCGATCCGCCCTCCTTCCTCGTGAGCCGGTTGAGCGCGCGCCGCTCGCGGCCGGCGGGGGCGGCGTCGGCCTCGGGGGCGCTCTCGCCGGGCGGCCCGCCCTTCATCACCAGCTGCACCTGCCGGTGCTGGAACTTGAGGTGCGCGCGCTGCAGCCGGTCGAGCGGCGCCGCCTTGAGCAGCAGGCCGCGCTCATACGCCTTGTCGGCGGCGGGGTACTTGCGCTTCGTCTCGAGGACGGAGGCCCAGGCCTCCCAGAAGAGGGCGAATTTCTGGCCGATGTGCCGGTCGTACAGGTAGTCGAAGATCTGCTCCGGGTCGCGCACGCAGTCGGCGTACTGGATCCACACGCGCAGGTACCGCGCGTCGTCGGTGTAGCGTGAGTCGTCCTTGAGGCCGTACGCGCAGTCCTCGAGCAGCTGCATCAGCCCGGCCTCCTTGCCGCCGGTCGGGTACGCCTCCTGCGTCCACCGGATGTAGCCGACCCACGTCGCCAGCGGGTCCGCCCCGTCGGCTGCCCGCCTGAGCGCCTCGACCCACTGCTGGCGCCGCGCCTCGCGCGCGTCGGAGGCGGCTCGGTCGGCCACCGCGATCTCGCCCAGCGCCTTGGCCTTCCGACCGCGGCGGAGCGGCTGCGCGTTCTCCTTGACCTGCTCCCAGCCGTCGTCGACGACGGGCTCCGCTTCCGCCTCCATTGCCATCGTGTTTGAGCGTGAACCACAGAAAGAGAAACGCCCGGTGGTCGGATGCATGCCGTCTCGCTTGAGATATGGGCCAGCCCCCGGGAGAGCCGGGCCCACATTAGTAGGAAGTGGTTTCCTAACGTGTGGGAGCAGTGTGCACGATAGCATGGTCCACTCTGAGTGGACCGTGTGCGTGCCTGAGATCTTCTCTCTCTCTCGTGCCTGTCGGAGAGAGAGAGATTTTTTTTGCCTGTCGGAGCCACTCAGAGTGGCTCGACCTGTGGGATGTGCATACGCCCTTCGCCTCGGGGTTGCAGTCGGTGCGTGACCTTGTGTTGCGTAAGTATGTACCTGGCGAGCCGAGGACGATAGAGAGGCCGCGGGTGCGAGCGCGACTCGCCGACCAGGGAGAACGGGCCCGTCCTCCCTGGGAGGGGAGGCGACACGACCCAATGCCGCCGTCCTCGCCCGGGGAGACCTCGGCCGGGCCGTCGACGCCCTCGGAAGCGGTGGAGCCGGGAGAAGCTGGCGGAGACGAAGGACGGCAGCGGAGAAAGCGACACCAACAACGAGGGAAACGACCATAGCCATACCGGTCGTCGCATAACGCTCGGGAGACGAGCAAGAGAGCGAATCAAGGAGGGTTGAGACCCTGGGAAGGCGAGGGGTGAGCCCTCAGGCGGGGGGGTCTACTCAAACGCCGACGCAAGTGAGTGTAGAGTGGTGGTGTGGGGCGTGCAGTGTGGTGTTCATTAGCTCCGAGTAGAGGGGGCGTCCTGCAGTTAAGGGGAAACCCGGTACGCGGGGCTAACCCTCGGAGACCCGTGTTTACTTTAAGGCCCTTTCCCTGCGAACGCGCACCCCCGGGGCTAGGGCTCTCTTGCCCGCAACCCGATCCCGATCATCCGGCCCGCTGGGTGCGCTTCTTAGCTCCCCGGCCCTGGATGTGAGGCTGATGACTGCACTCCAAGTGCGCTCCAAGTGCGCCTCCGTCCCGCTACTTTTATACTGTTGGATGTCGCGGTGAGACAAAAACAAAACGTGTTTGGTATTGCTAAAAATCTCTCTCTCAAGACAAAGCGATACCAAACAAGAACACAACGCGGTCTCACATGACAAGCGATCCCACACGACAGAAACAACAGCGAGTTGTGAGTGAGGACTACATGATCCGTACGTGAAGGGTGGAGAGGCCCGCCCGTCCGCAGAGCTAGGCGGCGCGGGCACCCCCCACTGCGCACTGGGGCCGAGGCCAAGAGGCCGTTTGCCGCTTGCTTGTTCTTGACGTCGTTGACCCAGTTGTGGCCCGCTCGGGGGAGTTGAGCCAGGTAGTTGGTACGCATCTTGCGCGCCTGGTTGTTGATGTTGTCGGCGTCGTCCGCCACCCTGAGGGAGGGTGTAGAGGATGTAGAGTGTGTGTAGAGCGCTGTAGAGCTGTAGAGATGTAGACAGGCACTCTACATCCGCTACACCCCTCCTGCTCCCTCCAGCCGCCGCCGCCGCCGCCATGGAGATCTGCTGCGTGTGGTGGACGACAAAGAAGGAGGCGCTCGCCGACGCCGTCCCATACACCGTCCGTCAGGTCCGTGGTTTGGTGCCCACCGCTTCCTTGGCGAACACGTGGTCGTGGAGGAACTGCTTGGTGGGCGGCGCAATGCCACACCCAAACAAAGTCTCCACGAGCACCAAATCCGCAACAACGCAGCCATCCCTCCCTTGGGTTGTCTGTTTTCTTTCTTTGTTTCTTTCGCACCCTCGTCTCACATGACAATAACAAACAACAGTTGTTTGGTATTGCTAAAAATCTCTCATGACAAGATGACAAGCGATCCCACGACAGCGTCGGTGGGGACTACATCGGGGCGGCGGCGGAAGCATCGGGGGAGGCTGTCAGGCTGACCAGGCAGCCTCCCCCGCGCGTCTGCGCCCCAGTGCAGCAAGCGGCAGGCTTTGACCCCCTGATTGATGATTGATGATTGATGGGAAGGCGAAACACAGTCCGACCAACGACTGGGACACCAACGCGGTATGGGTGGACGCAGGACGGGCGGTGACGGTCACACAGGAGCGACACACAGAACCACAAGACAAGACACTCAGGCAACGTGGCTGCCACACATCCTGAGCGAACTTCCCTAGACACCCGCGGCCGGACTTCATCCGACACGCGTCGCTGGGCGCTCAGAGCCGCGTCCCCTGCTCGCCACCCCGACGCACAAGGCGCCCGAGTCGAACGACAGGCGGCACGCGAAGACTGGTTGCAATCCCGCCGACCGCCAGGCCGCGGGATGATGCGTGCGTGGTCTTGTAGTGGGTCTCGCTCTCGGAAGCTCCCCTCTCGGGCTAGGTAGGAGCCTTGGAGCCTACCCCTCTCCCTTGCCCTCGGAACAGTGTGTCCGAGTCGAGGCGTGTGCTTGCCGGTCGCGGCCGCGCGCGGTGGTTGGCATTGTGACGAAGGGTGCGCGCGGCCGCGGCGCGCCCGCGCACAGACCCCCTGACGGCTTGGAGCCCGAACCCAGCCCTCGGAGTGTTGTCCCCTCGACAGTGGATAGGTCTATGCAACCGCACCCGTACGGCCACTGGCCGCCTCAGCCGGGTGCGTTGAACGCGCTGCACATGCCGGCGCACGCGCAGGCGCACATCCCGGCGCCGCCGCGGGCGGGCGCGCAGTACGGGGCTGTGTCCCCGCGTGCCGTCGGCCCCGGGCTCCCTCCCAATGCGAGGCCTGGCGACTGGATGTGCCGCGCCTGCAACAACCACAACTACGCCGACAAGCTGGCGTGCAACCGGTGCAAGGCGCGGGCTGGCCCCACTCCCAGTCCGCCGCCGCTCCGCCCACCGCCCGCCGCCCGCCGCCGCCGCCGCCGCCACTTAGACCGCCGCCGCCACCCCGCCGCAGGTGCCCAAGGACGTCTTCATCGCCTCGACCGGGATGCGGGTGGGCGACTGGCTCTGCCCCGCGTGCTCCAACCACAACTTCAAGGACAAGATTGTCTGCAACAAGTGCTCCAGCCCGCGCCCGGCCTCGATCCCGCTCATCGGCATCGCCGGCGCGGGCGGCGCGGGCGGTGGGGTTGGCGGCGGCGGCGGCGGCGTCGCCGAGGTGCGGCCGGGCGACTGGCTCTGCCGCCACTGCGCCAACCACAACTTTGCAGACAAGACGCACTGCAACCGCTGCAAGGCGCCGATCGCAACCGCGCTCGGCCAGATGTCGACGCAGGCGAGTCGCGCGAGCGGGTCGTGGAGCGCGTCGCCGCTGCACCAGCGCCAACGCACGGTGGGCCCGCCGGCCTCCGACGGCACCGCCCAGTTCGAGATCCGCTCCGCGCCCTTCCTCGCCAAGGGCCTCGGCCCGGCGCTGGCGGCGGAGCACTCTGGCCTGCGCTGGGCGGGCAACGCGTCGCTGCACTTCGACCCGGTGGCGGACTGGCCGTCGGTGGAGCGGGCCGCCCCGCTCGGGCAGCTGCCGCTCCTCACGGTGCCGGGCGAGTCGGGGTGGGCCACTTCGCCCTTTGCGCGCGCGGGCGACGAGAGCGGCGTCCAGATCGCGCTGCCGGCGGCGATTGTCAACTACATTGGCAAGGCGCCCCCGCACCCCGCACGGAGGGCCGGGGCCGCGCGCACTCCGGACGCGTCCCCGACACTCGACGCGTGCCCGTAGGTGAGCGGCCTCGAGGGCGGCTCCGCCGAGGCGTTTGGCCTCTCGCAGCAGCTGCTGGCGGAGGGGGAGGAGCTTCTCGGCCTCGCGGCCAGACACCTCCCCACGCCGCACGCGCGGCTCTCCGACCCGCAGAGCGGGGTGCACACCGCCAAGGGGACCGCCGCCGAGTATGCTCGCTTCTGGGCGACGCTGCTGCCGCCGCACATTGGCCGCCTCGCCCGTCTCTGCCGCGGAGGCTCCTTCCAGCCGCCGCCGACCACCACGCCGCTCGCCGGGGAGCTGCACCTGTGGGCGGTGCTCTACCAGCTGCAGCTCATCGAGCGGAACCTGTTCGCGTCGTACGAGGAGCTCGCCGCCTGGTTCGACCGCGTGCGCACCGCGCCCGCCACGCAGCGCGTCATCTCCGGCAGCAGCCCGATGGGCGAGCTCGCGCCGTACTTCCTGCCGCTCGAGTCGGCCGACATCTGCACGCTCGCGGACGAGCGATTCTGAGCTTGGCCGCAGCGCAAGCAACGGCGTGTGCTGGCGCAGGGCGCGCGCGCCGCGGTGCGGCCCCCTCCCGAGCGTTTGCCCCCACAATCGCGCGATATTCTTTCCCGTGTCGTCTTTTGTGTGCGAGGACTAGAAGTCCCGCGGGACCGACTTCGACTTCGTTGAATGTGCCACTGTGAGTGTGTGCGCGGGCGCCTCGAGAAAGTCAAAGTGCTGACCTGTGCGTGTTGAATGCTGTTGTCTACTGCTGAGTTTCACGCCGTTATCTACAACAAGAAACGAAATGAATACCCCGACCGCTCCATTCACACACGCGCGATGACGCATGTACCAGTAATGTCGCATTGACAATCGCCGAGATATTCCGGGTACCGGGATGCGGGAATATCGGGGATATCGCGCACATGTGTGTTGTTGGGGCCCCATGCCCATCCGATCGGTGTCACCGCGCTCCGCGGTGTGGGGAGTACGCGGCATCACGCCTCGAGCATATCACGCGATCTAGTTCTAGATCTCGAGAGTACGACTACGAGAGATACAGTGACATACAGACACGAGAGAGTTTTAGAGCGAGATAGAGTGTTTGGTGACTGATTGTTTTTAGATAGAGGTAGACGGCACGTCCCGCCCCCTCTAGCTGGGTGGTGGGTACGCGCGGCGCGTTCTAGTGTGACGGTGCTTTGGGGCTGGGCTGACACACTGTGTGCGGCAGCGCTAATAAGTGGGGTGTCGCGACTACCGCGCGCTCCGGACTCACGCATGCAAGGTACAGTCTCGTCTTCTCGCAGCCATGCGCAGCTCAAGCTCGAAGCTGTCTAAGGCTTTCTCTGCGCCAGCTCCCGACGCCGCGTGCTGCAGATGCGGGCATGCGTGGATCACGGCTGGCCCGTCGCCCAAGTCTAGAAGAGGAAGAACTTGCGCGCGAGCGGCACCTTCGTCGCCGGCTCACACACGAGCGGCGCGCCGTCCGCAGTCACCTCGAACGTCTCTGGGCAGACGGTGATCTTGGGCATGGCCGAGTTGTGGACCATGTCCGCCTTGGAGACGGAACGCGTGCCCTTGACCGGCTCGGTAGACTTGCTCAGCCCGTATCGCGCGCCGACGCCCGCCGCGTGCGCCGCGCCCGATACGAAGGCGAGCGAGGTGCCGCCGACGGCGCCGGGCTGCGCGCCAAACATCGGCCGCATCACGACGGGCTGCGGCGTCGGGATGGAGGCGTTCGGGTCGCCCATCTGCGCCTACAGGGGGGACGCCGGCCCGGCCCGTCGGGAGTCGGAGTGCGCCGCCGGAGGGGCCGGGCGCGGGTGCAGGGTAGCGTGTGCGGCGCGCGCCCACGCGATGGTGCCGCCCTTGATGACCATCTCGGGCTTTGCGCCAAACAGCGCCGGCTTCCACACTACAAGGTCGGCGAGCATGCCCGGCTGCACCGAGCCGACGGCGTGCGCCATCCCGTGGGCGAGGGCGGGGTTGATCGTGTACTTTGCAATGTACCGCTTGATCCGCGCGTTGTCCGCGCCCGCCGACGTCTCGTCCGGCAGCGGCCCGCGCTGCGCCTTCATCTTGTCGGCCGTCTGCCAAGTCCGGCAGACCACCTCGCCGACGCGGCCCATCGCCTGCGAGTCGGACGACATGACGGAGATGGCGCCCATGTCGTGCAGGATGTCCTCCGCGGCGATCGTCTCGCCGCGGATGCGCGACTCGGCAAAGGCGACGTCCTGCCGGGCGAGCGGCCGGCGCGGTCGGGGAGGAGGAAGGGGGGGGGGGGGGGCGGGCGGCCCCTTGGTGGGCGAAAGGCGCCACTGCCGCGACGCGAAAGGCGACCCGGCCGCGAGAGGGGGGCGCGCGCGGGGGGAGGGGGTCTGCCCCAGGTGCGGTGGCTGCGGCGCGCGCCTCCGGGATCGCCTTGTCGAGGTGGTGGCAGACCATGAGCATGTCGAGGTGCTCGTCGATCGTGTTGACGGTGAAGGGGCGGGTCGGGTTGGTGGAGGAAGGGAGGACGTTCGGCTCGGAGCAGACCTTGATGATGTCGGGCGCGTGGCCGCCGCCCGCGCCCTCGGAGTGGTAGGTGTGGATCGTCCGCCCCTTGATGGCGGCGAGCGAGTCGTCGACGAACCCCGACTCGTTGAGCGTGTCTGTGTGGATGGTCGCCTGCACGTCGTGCTCGTCGCAAAAGGTGAGGCAGGTGTCGATTGCGGCGGGGGTGGTGCCCCAGTCCTCGTGCAGCTTGAAGCCGGCCGCGCCGGCCTGGATCACCTCGAGCATCCCCTGCGGGTCGGACGTGTTCCCCTTGCCCGAGAAGCCAAAGTTGAGCGGGAGCGAGTCGGTCGCGCGCAGCATCGTCTCGACCTGGCTCGGCGCCGGCGTGCAGGTGGTGGCGCAGGTGCCGGCCGCCGGCCCCGTCCCGCCGCCGTACATAGTCGTGATGCCCGACGCGATCGCCTCCTCCGCGATCTGCGGGCAAATCCAGTGCACGTGCGTGTCGATGGCGCCGGCGGTGACAATCATCTTTTCGCCCGCGATGGCTTCGGTCGTCACGCCGGTCGTCATGCCCGGCGTGACGCCCTCCATCGTGTCCGGGTTGCCCGCCTTGCCGATGCCGACGATGCGCGACCCCTTGATCCCGATGTCCGCCTTGACCACCCCCAGCGCCGCGTCGATGATGAGCGCGTTCGTGATGACCACGTCGAGCGCGTCGGCCGGGGCGCCGCCCGACTTTTGGCCCATCCCCTCGCGCAGCACCTTGCCGCCGCCAAACTTGACCTCCTCGCCGTAGACGGTGTAGTCCTTCTCCACTTCGGCCAGCAGGCACGTGTCGCCCAGCCGCACCCGGTCGCCCACCGTCGGCCCAAACATCGCCGCGTACTCTGGCCGCGACATCACCAGTGGCGAGCCGGCGCGCGGCGGCGAGGCGCTCGGCGCGTGCCCAAAGCCGCGCGCGGCGACGCGCTCCATGACCTCGGGTAGCCGCTCCGGCGTCGCGGGCCCGTCGACCAGCTTGTTGCCCGAGACGACCACCTTGTTGCCGCCGACGGCGACGAGCGTCACCGTCTTTGACTCGCCCGGCTCGAAGCGGACGCTCGAGCCGGCCGGCACGTTGAGCCGCTTTCCAAACGAGGCTGCGCGGTCGAAGACGAGCGCGGCGTTGGTCTCGATGAAGTGGTAGTGCGAGCCGACCTGGATCGGCCGGTCGCCCGAGTTGGTGACTCCGATCTCGATCAGCTCCCGCCCGGCGTTGAGCGTGATGCCGCCCTCGGCGCACACTGTGGCGCCGGGCACCTCGCTCTCCTCGAGCTCGCCAAAGGCGGCGAGGTCGGGGACGGGCAGGAAGGAGCCGTGCAGCGCGAGCGAGAGGTCACCGTCGAGCGCGGAGATCGGCGAGTGCACCGTGAGCAGCTTCGTGCCGTCCTCGAACGTCGCCTCGATCTGCACCTCGGCGACGAGCGACGCGACGCCAGGCAGCACCTGCCGGCGGCCCAGCAGCTGCTGGCCGGTCGCCATCAGCTCCGCCACCGGCTTCCCGTCGCGAATCATCTCCATCATTTGCGACGAGATGAGCGCGACCGCCTCGGGATGATTGAGCCGGCAGCCGCGGGCCAGCCGCCGCTGCGCCAGCTGGCCGGCCTGCGCGAGCCGCAGGTGGTCGAGCTCGCGCGGCGAGAGGTGCATGGACCGCGTCGAGCGAAGGAGGGTTCGCGGCGACAGTAGGGTGCCCCGCGCTCGTGGCTGGCGCAGCAAGACTCGCAACATGGCGAGGGGTGAGGAGGGGAACGCAAATCCGATCAAAGGCGGTTGGTTTGCGTCGCCTGCACAAGTGCACGCTGCTCTCGGGCGTGCGTGCGCGGTGTGTTGGTGTCTCTGTGAGCACACACACACACACACACACACACACACACACACACACACACACACACACACACACACACACACACACTCACAGAGAGAGAGAGAGAGAGAGAGAGAGATTAAGTAAGGGGCGAGGGCGCAGATTTGATCAAAGGAGGGCGGTTTTGGGTGGTGTGATCTGTGAGGGTCGCAGGCGCATTTTGTATAACCGAGGCGGTGCCCGGTGCCGAGCGCAGGCAGAGCCCACAGGTCGGACCTTAAGACAGCATTGTAGATCCCTGGGCGAGGGTGGTGCTGGTGGAGAGGGCGGTCCGGCGGCGGAGCAACCACCTCCTCCCGACGTGCCGGGAGGCAGGATGTCATCCCCCGCGTGATCCCGACCGCCCCGTTGGAGGTAGACCGCTCGTCTAGCCGATCAGCCTTAAGCGAGCGGCCTGGCCGTTGCGCGTTGGAATGGCCGGGTGGAGAGTACTCGGAGAGAGGGGCGGGGCCTCGCAATGAGACCCCTAGTTGCCCGGCCGGGCGTTCGGACTCTTCCCCGTGCGGCCTGCGGGGCCTCGCCCTCGGCGTCCTAAGCGTAATCGCTCTAATCCGGCCGGCCGTTCGGTCTCTTCCCCGTGAGGTCCCCTCTCGCCGGGGTGTAGACGTGTGCCGCTGGGATCACATGTCATGTGCATGCACATGCCGCACATGTACATGTCATGTTGTCATGTTGTTGTTGTTGTGTTGTTGTTGTTGTTGTTGTTGTGCATGTGCATGTTGTGCATGCACACAACGTCCACACCATACAGCATACTCCCACACACAGGAGGCGGGACACGCGCACACCACCGACACAACTCGGTTCACCAGTTCTCGTGCTCGTGCTTCGTGCACGGTGATGCTGCCAAATTTCCACCACGCCACCGCACCGGAATCGGAATCGGAATCACCTCGCTCTCGCTGAGATCTCACGCTCAGCTCGCCGCCCCCAGCGCCAGCCGCGCAAAAGCCGACTCCGGCACCGCAGCGCCGAGCAGCTCCTCGCGCAGCCGGGCAGCGGTCGGCCGCTCCGACGGCTCGAAGCGCGTGGCGAGCCGCACGAGCCGCTCCGTCGACCCGCTCACCGGCGGCGGCTCGTCCTCCTCTTCGTCCTCCTCCTCGCCGCATGAAAAGGGGTCGTTATCCCGCACGCGCCGCAGCAGGGCCGCGGCATGGCCGCTCGCCTCTGGCCAGCCGCGGCTCCACCCCTCCGCGTCGGCCTGCGCCTCGGCCGCCTCCCAGTCGTACGGCGCGCGGCCGCGCAGCAGAGAGAAGAGTACACACCCCGCCGACCAGACGTCCGACGCGCGGCCGTCGAAGTGCTGTGCGCCACCGCCGCCCGCGAGGTGGCGCTCGGGAGCCATGAAGTTGGGCGTGCCTCCCCTCTCCGCCACGCGAGGCGCCGCCTCCGGGTCGAAGGCGGACGCGCTGCCAAAGTCGACCAGCATGAGCGAGGCGGCGTCGGGCACTGTGACGAGCACATTCTCGGGCTTGACGTCGCCGTGTGCCACGCCCTTGCGGTGGGCGTGGGCGAGCGCCTCGAGGAGGAGGGCCGTCAGCCGCCGCGCCTCCACTTCGCTGAGCAAGCCACCCGCCGCGCTCGCATGCTCCCTCAGCTCGACGCCCTCAAAGTACTGAAGCACGAGCGCCGCCCGGAGCGCATCTGTCTGGTACGCAAACAGACGCGGGAGGAGCCGGCTCGCGGGAACATCAGCGCCGGAGAAGAGGCGCGCGAGCATCTCCGCCTCGTGCGCGACGTCCGCCGCGCTCGTCTCCTCCTCATCATCGAGCGCGCAAACCTTGACAGCGACTGGCCGCGAGAGGCCCATTCCGGAATGTCGGCCGAGCCACACGGCCCCAAACATACCCTTGCCGAGCGGTCGCTCGAGGGTGTAGTCCTCCAGCCCGGGAGGCAGCTCGGGCGGCTCCGACGCCGCGCCTCCAAAGCCAAAGCCTCCAAAGTGTGCATTTGCGCCGCAGAGCGCCGCTGCGAGTGCTTGGCGCGGCGACTTCTTTTGGATGCGCGCGCTCCAGCTTTTCTTCGAAGGCGGCGGGCGGGGCGAGTTGGAGCTGAGCGGAGCGAAGACGTGGCGGAGGGTCTGAGAGGCCGAGGCGGACATCGTTTTGAAGTGGTTCGGACCCAGCGGCGAGGCTGACATTGTTTTGAAGTGGTTCGGACCCCGCGGACAAATTTTTCTTTTGTATTGTCTTGAGCACTTGAGCACTGGATTGGGTCGATTCCGCATGGTACGGGACCCCTCGATCGTCTCGCCCTCCCTCACTGGTATGTTCATTGGGGGGGGTCATAACAAACACGGTACAGGATCGAGGTGCACGCTGCTTGCTGAAGCAGTGTCGTCCCCCCTCTCTCTCCATCATTCATCTCACTGGGTGGGAGACGTCGGCGGCGATGGCGGTGTGACCGATCGAGCTACAAGAGGAGCTTGTTCAGCAGGATCCGGGTTAGGCTGGCGCACTGCCTCACTGGGCCTGAGACCGCCGCTCGCTTCCCGTCACCGTCTCGGGTTCGTGTGGGATCGAACCACTCCGGGATGGGCAAGCCCATCGTTCTGAGTTGTGCCTTTCCTTCACCTGCAAGAGATAGCAGAGAGTATGTGCGCCGCGTCAGCTGGACCCAGGGGGCGGGAGAAGGGAGGGGGGGGGGGGGGGCTCTTCCAGGCGAGAAGGGCAGCCATAGCAACTTCGAGGCGTACTACAAAATGACGAAGAGTGCTCCCGCTCCACGCCAGCCCAAGTCCGTGACTCTCCTCCATCCCCATCCCATCACGCGCCACGGAGGCAAGAGGGGACAGAGGCAGACTCAGCTGCTCTCGGGTGATCTCGCTTTGGTGGCCGAAGGACCCGATGGTCCTGTCACATTCGCGTTCCGAGTCGTGGGGGTAGAAGATTGCGGGGGGGCATCGAGTCAGCACATCTTTGTAGTACAGCGGACCACCAGAGGCTCGCCGGCAGCATCCGCAGGGAGGCAGCATATCAGGCACCAGTCTTCTGGAGAGCTCAACAGCTGCAGCCGCGATGGCAGAGTCGGCCGCGGTTCGAGCGAGCAGCTTTTTTGGCTGCGGGATCGAAGCGCGGAAGGCTCATGCCCTCGCGGAGCGACGCGGGTCGCGCGGCGCGCGCGTGTGCAAAATGCGCCGACAACGACAGCGACGACAGACGCCTGAGCGCTGAGCGACTGAACGACCCTCTCCGCAATCGTCACCGCCGCCATTTTGACGAGCAGCGCGAGCGCGCTCGTCGGCGGCCAGCCGTCGCGGGCCGGGCCCGCGAGCCCGGCCTCAACCGGCCGCGGCTCTTGTATCTTTTTCAGTGTATGTAGCTCCCACGAGAGTGCGTTTGACGGACCCTAGTACGCTCAAATGTATCCATGATCTGGATGCTAGGATGTGTGAAGCAAGATAAAGTGTAGTAGCTCTTAAAGCCGTACGACAACACTACGGCTCTAGAGTCTAGACTCGCCAGCCCCCTGACTGTGTTCTGAGAATGACGGTGATCGCTGTGTGATGAGCATATGAGTCATGAGCTCTCAGAGGACAGAGCTGTCAACAGACAACACCACCCCACCAGCCGCGCAGCGCTCGGGTGTGAACAAGAATGGGGTTGAGTCATCACGATCTCGCGATCCTCCTCCGCAGCCCGAGCGACCGCGCGTCGTCGGCCCCCGCCGCCGCAAGCGCGCCGGCACCCCGCCGCCGGACCGCCTCGCGTGCCCTGTCGAGGAGCGGCTCGTCCGCGTCCGACTGCTCGCGCGCGGGCGCGGCGAACCAGCCGCGGCGGCAGAAGCTGAGCACGTGCAGCCACAGCTCGGGCGGCAGGGGGCTGCCTTGCGCGCTGTGGGCGCGCAGCAGGCTGGCCGCCTGCCGGTCGGGCGGCGGGAAGGACCAGTGCCACGCCGGGTGCCAGTGCATCGCATCGGCGGGCAGCCCGCGCCGGCCGCTTGCGACCGCCAGCGCGTGCGCCAAGCTCGCCAGCCGAGGGACGCGTCTCCGCGCCGCGAGGACGGCGAGGTCGCGGTCGCTCAGCAGCGCGTGGGGCGCGAGGAGCAGCGCGCACTCCCAGTGCTTGGCCTTGAAGGGGGAGGCGACCAGCGCGCTCACCAGTGGGGTAAGCCGCCACCTGTTCTCGGCGCCCACCAGCGCGCGGAAGTCGGCGGCGCGCAACAGCTGCCGCAGCACGCGCGGCTGCTCGACCGCCACGTGGAGCGCAGTGTCGCCGTCCGAGTTGCGCGAGGAGGGCGACGCGCCGCGACGCAGCAGCTCTTCGCACACGTCCTCGTAGCCGTACGAGGCGGCCGTCACCAGCGGCGGCGACCAGATCTCCCACGCCATCACCTGCGGGCACGGCGCGTCGGCCGAGAAGCCCTTGTCGAGCGCTAGCCGCACAGTCTCGAGAAGCTCCCGCGGCGCGCCGGCCGCCTTTGTCTTGCGCGCGCCGACCGCACGGATCACGGGCGTGATCAGGCCGAGTGGGCCGCTCCTCGCCTCATCGATGAGCTCTGGTGAGGCGGCGAGCAAGGCGGCGCGGGCGCGCAGCACCGAGCAAATCTGAGCCGCGTCCACAACCCGCCGCCAGAGCTCGGCCGCGTCCTCCTGCCGCTTCGCAGCGCGCCAGTGCGGGTTGCGGCTGCGCATCGTTCTTGCAACTGGTGCTGCAGTGCTGCGCAGTGAACAGACTGCTGCCTGCAGGCCCGCTTGACCTGCGTGTGAAAGAATTTAGCTTGCCTCGGCTGTGGCAAGTCAGGTGCTAGGAACCTCGATCGACACATGCCTCTCACTGCCGAGCAAGAGAAGGCGCTGAAGCCGCCGCTGCTTTTAAAGGGCACGCTGGCGACCGACGCCTCCCTCGAGCCCTTCCGTTTTGTGTGAACAGACGGGGCCCGGGGTTGTGCGTTTATTTATGTGAACAGACGTCGATGAGCTCACTAGCAGACGTCGAGTACCCGCCATAAAAACGGTATGTCGGTGGAGTGCTCTCTACTGCCGCGGCGCCCCTGTCGGTTCGGAGGCGCCCGGCGGCCGCGCGCTTGGTGCCGACGTCGACCGGCTGCTCTCGCGGCGCCGAGACGGCTTTGGTCACGTCTCGCGCGCTGCGAGGTGTCTTTTGGCATGTGAGCGCTTGCCAAAGACGCCAGCAAGCTCGCCTTCCTTGCCTGCGGCCGCGGGCGTGCGGGCGGGCCCGCCAGGCTCGGCGAAGCTCGGCGCGGGTCTTCGAGCTCGCCGCCGGCGACGAGCCAGCATGGCTCGTCGCTCGACGGGAGCCTGTCCAGCATGCTCTGGGCATGCTGTACAGCATCGCCAACTCTCTGGGATGGTCTACAGGGACAGGGCGGGCCGTCTCGGCCGCGATAGCGCGCTCAATAGTACGGTACCACGACTACGAGCTCTCCGATCGGGCCGCCGACAGCGGGCTTGCGCAGCGCGCCGCTCGACGGCAGGCTGCTCCCCACCCTTCCAACAGCATCTGCTGTCTCGCTTCTCTCGCTGCGACCGCATCTGGGGGCCTGCGCCGACCGCCTCGCTTCGCCAGCGCTGCCTATGACTGCGGCACGCACGTCGGCTCGCCGCCCGCGTCGCCCGCGGCGGGCCCGCATAGCACGCCGCTCGTCGGGGGAGTGCCAAGGAGGTGTTGTGGAGTACAGGCTGCCTCGCTCAGACCGCCGCCGACGCGGCGCGAGGCCGCGGTCGGCGCTGCTGCGGGGCTCCTGCGCTGTGGGCTTCACCATCGTGTCCTGAGTACGTCGCCGACGCCACCTGCCGCTCGCCGCTGCCTTGCACTTCGCTGCCGTCAGGCAAACACACACACACACACACACACACACACACACACACACACACACACACACACACACACACACACACACACACACACACACACACACACACACACACACTATTAATAATCGGGTAATAATTATTAATTATTAATCCTCGGGCGGCGGAGCGGCGCGGCGGCGGGCGGCGCGAGGCGGCGGCGCGGCGAGGCAGCGGGCGACGCAGGGCGGGGCGGCGCGGCGGCGGGTGGTATAATTACTAATTAATTAATTAATAATGAATTAATAATCGTCGGGCGGCGGCGCGGCGCGGCGGCGGGCGGCGCGGAGCGGGGCGGCGCGAACATCTCTCATCTGCTCTGATCAGGCCTCCGGGCTTTGAGGCGGGGCAATGGTCGCGCCGCCCTCGACTCAAGGGGCTGCCTTCCACCCGTCGCTGCTCAGGCCGGGGGAGGGGGGGAGATCTCCTGTTCCTCGCGGAACGGGAGCAGGCCCCTCCTTGCCCGGTCTGCGATGCAGGGCGGTGGTCGTGCCATCTTCGCTTCGTACACGCAACCACCACGCCGCGACCGTCGCCGGCGCGCGACACGTTCCCGTAGGCCGGACTGTCCTCGTCGAGAGTGTGTGCCGCCAAGGCGGGACACACTCAGGGGCAGTGCCGACGGGACGCGGCTCGAAGGGTGTGGCTCCGCAGCGCGGCTGGCACTCGTCGCAGAGGCCTCACCTTCGAAAAGTCGGGCATGGCTCTCCCCGCAACTTTCTCGCTAACACGCGCGCCCCGTCGAGCCTGGGGCGGGCGCGCTGCGGCCGCACGTCTAACTTCGTCATAGTGCCACGACGTGCGGCCTAGATTTAGCACACGCGCCTCTGCTCGCAAACACTCACCCATTGAATTGTCACTGCCCGTGAGTGCGAGATAGGGCTAGCAGTAGGCAGCTAGCCTCTGAGGAGGGCGTCCATAGACACCTCACATGACCCCACACACGGTCTCGTCCGTGCCTCGCCGGCCGGCGAGATTGCTAGAGGTGGAGCAAGCTGCTCTAGCCTCGCATGTTACTCCTGTCGTCTGTTGTGATGTTGTGCCCTTGTTTGTTCCTCTTGGCACCTTGGAGTGCTGGGGGGGGGGCGACAGGAAGAATGTGGCCCTGAGTTATGTGTACGCCGACTCAGGGTGTGTGGCAGCCAGCTGGCTGTGTGTCTTGTGAGCTTGTTTGTGTCTGTGTGTCGCTCGTGCGTGTCGTCATCATCTGTCTCGCCGTCCACCCATACCGCGTTGGTGTCCAGTCCGAGCCTGGCTGTTCTTCACCTTTCTACCTACCTACCTACTAGCTAGAGCTCACACTAGAGGCCGTCATCGCATTCGCCCTGGGACCCAGCGCTGACTTCTGACTGTCGATGCTGTCTATCCCTTTCTCGACTGTCTGAGCTTGTGCGTCTTGGGCCGGGGTTGTGTTTTTGTGTGAACAGACGTCAGGCTGAGACCGAACGCCGGCGAGCGCAAGATTCTTTTATCGTTCGCGCTCCCAGGAGGAAAGGTTCGTTGGTCGGACTGTGTCCCCTTCCTATCAATCAATCAAACAGCACTGAGCACACGGGACTGTGGTGCGCACTGGCACCAACACATACACCACGGGAGCCGCCTAAAGCCTGGCGCGTAGAGGACCGCACGCACGCTCTTGCGTCTTGGTACTTGGAGTAGAGCCCCGCCCCCGGCGAGGCCTCAAAAGAGCAACCAAGACACCAATGGGTCACTCGTAGGTACCCTGGGTGGGCGGGGCCTCTACTCGCCAGGTCTAATCCCTAGAAACGGCTCCTAAACGCTAAAGCTTGCGCCGTGCGTAAACGAAGCAGACTTCGTCTTCGAAGAGCGCGGCCGAGAGAAAAAGAAAGAAAGAAAACAGACAACCCAAGGGAGGGATGGGAGGACGGCACGAGAGAGAGCTCCTGAGAGGGCTTGGGTCCCCCCCGAGGGAAAAAACGGCCATAAATAAATAAATAAATAAAAACGGACACCTCTCTACTGTGAGATGGGTAAAAAGGAACAGGTCCCACCCGCCCTTGCCGCTTGCGATCTTTGTGCAGGAAGTTTTCTTTGTGGGTGTGGTCGGGCGCGGGCGGGGCGCGACCGCTACGGCTTTAGCGGGGTGGGAAAAGCGCGAAATTCCATTTGGGACGCACAATTCGCACAACACATATTCATCATGCACAACACATTCGCACGGTCTTTGACTGAGTGAGAGAGAAAGAGGGTGACAGCGCTGGGAAGGCCCCACAATTACAGATTACACCCCCCCTGCCTCACTCAATGTAGCGGTCGCCGCCGCTCGCCTCGGTGGCGCAGATCGAGTGGAAGCCCTGCGGCACCCCGTGCCGCACCTCCTCGACGACGGCAATCGTGCCGACCACGCCCATCATGGCGGCGGAGAGGCCAATCACCACCGCGATGAGCAGCACGATGAGGCTCTGGGACGCGCCCAGCCGGCGGAGCAGCCAGTCGAGCCCGAGCTGGCCGGCGCACGTGCCAGCCAACCCGGCGCAAAAGAGGACGCCGGCGTACTGCGGGTCGAGGGCGCCGAAGAGGGCAAAGTTGAGCGCGGCGGTCGCCGAGGTGAAGAGGATCATGAAGGAGGCGGTCGCGCTCGAGACGGCGGGCAGCATCCCCATCTCGAGCATCAGCGGCCCCTTGACGATCCCGCCTCCGATGCCAAACATGCCTACGGACGACTCGGCGGTCGGACATGTCATGGACGCGGCGCGAACGGCCCGCCGCCTGGCGGGAGGCGCGCCGGCGCAGAGCCCTGCCCCCACGCAGAGCAGCGGGTAGAGGGTCGTGTTAGAGACAGTCCACTCGACGTCGTCCGGCAGGAACGGGTAGCCGATCTCGCGCCGGCGGGCGTGCCGCCGCATGAGCGCCGCGCGGATCGCGAGCGAGGCGGCGACGAGGAGCAGCAGCTGCGCGGCCCAGAGCGCGAGGTAGGCGGGCGAGCCGCAGCTCACGTCGAGCAGCGAGTGCGAGCGCGACGTGCCGCGCAGCAGCGAGAGGGCGAAGCAGGCGACCAGCAGCACGAGCAGGGGAAACACGTCGCGCGCGTAGTGGCGCAGCCGCCGCTCCGCGCGCATCAGCGCCTCGAGCTGGCCGGAGCGGCGCCGCGCGGCTGCCTCCGCCTCCTCCTCGTCCAGCGAGGCGGTGCGGAGGTCCGCGCCTGCGGCTGCAGCGCCGGCGAGGTTGAGGACGGAGCTGCGCTCGCTCGCCGCAGAGGGCTGCTCGGCGGCCAGGAGGCCCGACTGCTGGCTCTCGTCGGCGGCACAGCGCAGCCTCGCCCGCTCCTTGTCCCACCGCTCCCTCCCCTTTGCCCAGGTGCGCAACGCGGTGAAGCTGAGCAGCAGCACGAGCATCAACGTCGTCAGCCAGCTCGGGAAGATCTTGTTGAGGGTGGTGCCGACGAGAGCGCCGAGCATCGTCATCGGCTCCATCATGAGCGCCACCTCGAACGCGATGAGCGGCTTGCGACGGCTCGGATGCGGCTTGCAGAGGTTGAAGCCGAGGTTGGCGACCGCGCCGCCGAGGATGACGACGTTGGAGAGGGGCGTCGCCCGGCGCTCGGGGAAGCCAAAGACGAGGATCAAGAGCGGGATGAGCAGCCCTCCGCCGCCAATGCCGGAGCCGGACGCGAGCGCGGAGGCGACGATCGTGAGCGAGAACCCGACGGTGTCGTGCAGGTCGAGAGGGAGGAGAGACTTGTGGGCGCACACCGCCTCGGAGAGAGGCGGGAGGCCGTGACTGGTCGCGAACGCCCACTCGTGTGCCACGTCAATGTGGCACTCCATCTCGGGCCCACCCTCGCACTCGGAGTCGTCCACGCACGGCCGGCATATGTTGCCGTCAGTTCCCTTCGGCCACGGCGCGCAAATGTGGATCGGGCCGCAGTCAGAGAGTTGGGTGGACGGGCTGCACGGCGCCGCCGACACAACCCGCGCACTCAGCCAGCTCTCGGCGAAGGCGAAGAGCATCGATGTGCACGGGGTACGGAGCGTGCGCTCGCGGTGAGGGATACAACGGGCGTATGGCCGACGGTGAGATCCGCTGGGGTACGACGGCAAGAAACCCGAAGGGCGGAAAAGCCCGGCAGCTCCGGGGTCAAGGATGAAGAGGAGGTTGAGGGGGAGATTGTTGGAGTGAAGAGGGACGCCCGACTCACTGGCGAGGTACTTCCAGCCTGCTGTGGGAACAGCTGACGCAGCCTCTCGCCGAGGCTCGCCCCAGCCAGCAGACTCGGCCAGACAAAACCCCCGAGAGGCGTGGGAGTACCTCGCCAGCCGACTCACAACATCGATTATGCGCGCAGTGCGACACGCAAAACGTGCACGCGACGTCACCCGGAGGTTTCGGACCACGGGGTCTTCCTCTGCCCAGGCCCCGGCGGGCGTCATCGCGGCGCTCGAGGCAAATGCCGTGTCGGTCGGCCTTGCCGGTGGCCTCTTCCTCGTAGCAGGCGGAGCTGCTGTGCGTGCCTTTCACGAGGGCGAATCGGAGGCGAGGCGAGCATCTCCCGCTCGAGAGAGCGCCTACCTCGTGCAGGATCTCGAGAGCGATCTGGCCGTTGCGACACCATCTCGCAGCCCAGCCGAGCTGCCCTCCCTCTTCCTCCCGCGCGGCGGCCTGCCCGCTGCGGTTCTGCAGCGATCTAGGGCTCCCCTCTCGCCATCGAGCACGGTGCTGAGCTCGCTAGGACTGCGCGGTGCCCATCTCGAGCGGCTGAGGCGCGACGGAATCGTAGTCCTCGATGGCGCGCTCGGGGCAGACGAGCTGCAGGGCATCGCACAGGAGCTCAAGGCGGAGCGCGTCCAGGACCGGCTGTCGCGGAACCCCAACCATATCGCGAGCGGCGGAAACTCTGACCCGGTGCGCACGGACCGCACGCTCTTCCTCGACAGTGCGGTGCGGAGGGAGTTCAAGTCCGTATTGCCCTGCCTCACGCACGGCGAGCGGCTGCTCCGCTCAGTCGGGCACTTCTTGGAGAGAGAAGGGTTCGGCGGATTCCTTGCTCATGCCGATGAGAGTATTCCACTCCGTGTACCGGACGAGACGCAACTTGCCATCTACGGCCCGGGAGGTGCCTTCTACAAGCCACATCGAGACGGCGGGGGTGCAGAGGCAGCAGCCGGTCCACTCAGCCACCTCCGCTTGAGGGGACTCGGTCGGCGGTTGGTGACGGGCATCCTCTACCTCAACGACAACGGACCTAATGGCGCGCGGCCTTGGCGGGAGGAGGACGGCGGTTGCCTCAGGGTGTATGCGGGAGGCGATTCGACGTCCGAGTGCCATCATGTGGACATTCCGCCGATCGGAGGGCGGATGGTGCTGTTTGATGCGCAGGCGATGTTGCACGAGGTCAGGCCCAATCACCACGAACGCGCCGCGATTACGGTCTGGTTTCTCGTTGGATCGGAAGCATGACAAGAGCTCTCGCGCGAACCAGTCAGCGCCGAGGCTGGCTGGCTGGACGAGGTGCGCGGGGCTCACCCCCGCCGATAGTCGGGTGTGTGGGGGGGGGGGGGGTACCGGGCCGCGAGCGGACTCTTTTTTACATTTCTACATACACACACAAACAATTTTCTTGACAAGTGATCCGGAGCAGGAGAGGCGGTATGGAGGGAGCGGACCGTGAGTTGAGGAAATCGGAGGACGCGACCCACTTCGCCACAGACGGTCCCGCGCCTCGCCACTATGACGGCCACACGGCCGCAGCTCGTGTGCGTGTGGCCGGCTTTGTCCGGAGTGAATACTCCAACGCGCTCGTCGGTGACGGTGTCCTCCAACCTGCGCCGCGCTCGGCGAACCTCGACAGCGCTTTCGGTGGCATGCAGCTCTTTGCGCCTGAAGCCTGGAGAGCAGCTCCTCGGCTGCTCACACACTCTGCACAGTTGACACAGCCTATTGTGCGGCTGCCACAGCTGTGACAGCGATGGGCTCGCCCTCACTGGCCCTCAGTCACTTGTGCTGCGGCTTGTGTGAGCGACACTGCTCGGCGACTGCCGGCACACTGTGAGACCATGGGTGTGAGGTTAAACCACGCTACCAGCGCTTGGTCACATCGGCCCCGAGGTCAGATCCTTCTACTCTGTTAGTGACAAGACTTGTCTACTCGCTGGAGCCGAGCAGGAGGGCCCAGCGCACAACCCCTGGTCAACTCACGGTCCACACCCCGTATGTTGTAGCATGATTTCTATGCACCGCACACAGGACAGTACATCGGCCCGAGTCACCTAATCGACATCTTCTGACATCGGCCCGAGTCACCTAATCGATATCTGAGGGAAAACGGCGAGCAGAGAACTGTCACGGAGGCATGAAGCCTGCTCTTGCTTCTCAGAAGCACTTGCGGTGCACGATGGACGGGCCCGACTCGTCGTACTCCTGCTTCGAGATCCACATCTGCTGGAAGGTGGAGAGCGAAGAGAGGATCGAGCCGCCGATCCAGACCGAGTACTTGCGCTCCGGCGGCGCGATGATCTTGACCTTCATCGACGCGGGCGCGAGCGCGGTGATCTCCTTGGACATGCGGTCGGCGATGCCGGCGTACATGGTGGTGCCGCCCGAGAGGACGACGTTGGCGTACAGGTCCTTGCGGATGTCGACGTCGCACTTCATGATCGAGTTGTACGTCGTCTCATGCACGCCCGCCGACTCCATGCCCAGGAAGGAAGGCTGGAAGAGCGCCTCGGGGCAGCGGAAGCGCTCATTGCCGATGGTGATGACCTGCCCGTCGGGCAGCTCATACGACTTCTCGAGCGAGGAGGAGGAGGCGGCGGTCTGCATCTCTTGGTCAAAGTCGAGCGCCACGTACGCCAGCTTCTCCTTGATGTCGCGCACGATCTCGCGCTCGGCGGTGGTGGTGAAGGAGTAGCCGCGCTCGGTCAGCAGCTTGACCATCCAGTCGGTCAGGTCGCGGCCGGCGAGGTCGAGGCGCAGGATGGCGTGCGGCAGCGCGTAGCCCTCGTAGATGGGCACGGTGTGCGAGACGCCGTCGCCCGAGTCCATCACGATGCCGGTGGTGCGGCCCGACGCGTACAGCGAGAGGACCGCCTGGATGGCGACGTACATGGCGGGCACGTTGAAGGTCTCAAACATGATCTGGGTCATCTTCTCGCGGTTGGCCTTGGGGTTGAGCGGCGCCTCGGTCAGCAGGACCGGGTGCTCCTCCGGCGCCACGCGCAGCTCGTTGTAGAAGGTGTGGTGCCAGATCTTCTCCATGTCATCCCTGCAGGCGGGGAGAGACGGGCGTGAGATGGGTCCCGGGAGGGGGGTTGCGGGAATGGACTGGGGGGCGGCGGCGGCGGCGGAGCGCGCGCCAGTTGGTGACGATGCCGTGCTCGATCGGGTACTTGAGCGTGAGGATGCCACGCTTGGACTGCGCCTCGTCGCCGACATACGAGTCCTTCTGCCCCATGCCGACCATCACGCCAGGCTGGCGCGGCCGGCCGATGATGGACGGGAAGACGGCGCGCGGCGCGTCGTCGCCCGCGAAGCCCGCCTTGCACATGCCGGAGCCGTTGTCCACCACGAGCGCCGCAACCTCGTCGTCCGCCATTTTTCGGTTGATTATGCTATTAGGGACGAACGAGTTCGACGCTTTCCTTACCTTAGGGCACGTGGTAGGCGCGCGTGTCGTCCTCTTCTGTCCCGCTCTCTGTCTCTCTCGCTCGGGCTCTCGAGGGCGCTCGCTCGCTCTCGCAGTCTTGCACGCCGTGTACAAACGGAAGGTACAATCGTGCGTGCGTCCGAGTATTATGTGAGCGCTAAGATTATGGCCTATTTGTGGGTGGATGGAGGGTGGGCAGGGCACGTGATCGCGCGGCGTAGCGGGTACTGTCAAGTTTGGAACATGCGAATGGCATACACACACGCATGTCACGGTCGTGAAACGGAGATTTGACCGCGAGTCAACAGTCTTCCGTCGCCAAGCATGCTCGCAGAAAGCAAGGCGACGATAGCATTCCGGTGTGCCAACGGCGAGCTGGTGCAGGCGCGGCGCTTCGAAATGTGTGTCCTGAGCGCTCACCTCAGGATGCTGCTCGACGAGTTTGGGAGCGCAAATCTGGACCTGATTGATGCGAGCGACTTTGAGGCCCAGGACGTGCAGGACATCATTGTTTTGCTGCACGCGTTCAACAAGGTGGCCGTAGACACTTGCGTCGATAAAATCAGCGCTTCGGACGGAGCTGTACCAGAATGTTTCAACCTCAGCAAGATCGTGTGGCCACATGACCTCGTCCGGTTTGCGCACAAGTATGAGATCCCCCTGATCCTCGAGCTCTGCAAGTTTAGCCTCAACAAAGTCCAGGATGTGAGGGACATTCTCGCCTATGACGCCATTTCACCCGAGAATTCAGATTGGGCAGGCCCCGCCGTCATCGACTTTCTCATGAGGGTTCAACTGGAAGAGTTTGCCGACTTCGAGAAGGACGGCCCAGTGGAGGGCAGAGTGATTCCGCGGCTGTCGCCCGCTCTTATGTACAGGGTCCTTCAGAGGTGTACAGAAAGGCTGGCACAGACGCCATGATCGCACGGCCTGCCGAGAGCACGCCAACCACAAGCGCCTCCTGCTCTGCCGTGCCTGTCTGCCTAACCTGCTGACTGTGGACGCGCGGCGAGAGAGGTGCCTGGTGAGACGCGGCGGTGGCCCACTTTTCGCTTTCTTCTCTGGGTGGGTGGTGGGCTTGGTTAGACACATGATGCGTAAGTTGTTGTTCACTTGCCTCCCCCCCTGGCTGGGGAGCCTGGGGTGAGTGGCTGGCTGTGGGTCTATCTGGCTGTCTGGCTGCGCTATAACCGCAGCTCTTCCCTGGCCTGCCCCCATCCGCTCTGCCTGTCTGGCCAGCCGTGCGCTCGCCCGCACTCCTCGAGGACAGACCGGGCACCCATCTCCCGGCCTATTGATTGACTGATAGAAAGAAAGGCGAAGAACAGTCACAGGCTCGGACTTGGACACGCACCACAACACCATATCGTTTTGAAACGACAGGCACACGCACACCATCACTAAAACGCGGTATGGGTGTGGACGCACAGGCGAGAAAGAAATCTTTCACCACCTGACTTTCTTTATAGACAGTCGCGCAATATTCGCACGCGCACGACAAACCAAGAGGGCACGTGACACAACACATGTCACTTCGCGTCGGCTTGCGGATTACTGCTGCTGCTGGCGCCGCTGGCGCGTGGCTTGCACCTCCGCCATCCGGAGACCGGCGGCTGCCTCCTTGTTCTTCGGCTCGAGCTGCAGCGCCTTGTTGAAAGCGGCGACGGCCTCGGGGAACTTCTCCTCGGCCTGCAGCGCGAGCGCGAGCCGGAAGTGCGCCTTTGCGTACGACGGCTGCAGCGCCGCCGCCGCCTCGGCGTCCTCGCGCGCCTGCGCGTAGCGGCCGAGCTTGAGGAAGCAAGCGGCGCGGTTGCAGCGAGTGGCCGACGCGATGGCCGGGTCGACCGTGCCGCCCTCCCCGCAGTCCTCGGGCCCCGAGGCGGCGAGCGAGAGCGCCTCGGTGTAGGCGACCGCCGCCTGCTGGTACTCGCCCGCCTTGAAGGCCTCGTTGCCGGCCGCCTTTTTGAACTCGACGCGAGCGAGGTGGCGGCCGGCCGCGGTGCCCTCGGCGGTGTGCTGCGCCTTGGCCGCTGCCTCCGACTGCGACTTGACCATCTCGACCATCTGCTGCCGCTCCGCGCCGCTCAGCTCGCGGCCGAGCGAAGAACCGAGCATTCCCTGCACGACCTCGTCGATCTTGTCCGACTTCATCCGCGTCTTGGCGGCGAAGTCGGCGACCTCGCGCTCGGTGGTGGGGAAATCGTTGGACAGACGGACGATCAGCTCCGTCAGCAGCGCCCCCTCCACGTGCCTCGAGATGAACTGGTCCGTCTCTGCCGAGAGGCCCTTGTCGGGCATCTGCGCACGCAGCGTGCCCAAGTCGACCTCGCCGTCGAGCGAGGGCGCGTCGGCAAAGGAGAGCGCGAGGTCGAAGACGCCGGCCGTCAGGCACCGATCGAAGTCGGCCGCGCGCGCGTACTGCAGCTTCACGCCGCTGCAGGCGTCGAGCTGCACCGTCCTCATCGCGGAGGCTATCTTGACTGCGACGCCCTCGCACTGCCACAGCTCAATCGTCTCCGTGAGGACCTTGCCGTTGACGGCGACGGTGGTGTTGACGCACCCCTCAACGAGGAGTTTCACCGCGGCCACGCCCTCCCCCAGCACAACCTCGCAGTCAGTGCACTTGCGCAGAGTGATCACCGGCAGCGGCGGCAATCCGGAGGCGTTGAGCGCAATCCGCTCGCCGCTCCTGCCCTCGACGACGTGCTGCACCGCCTTCGATGGGCCGTCCAGCGCACCCTTGGCGCGCTCCTTGGCCTGCCGAAGCAGCTCGTTCTTGTCGGTCGGAGCCTTCCGCTCAAGGCCATCAAGAAGC